AGTCGCAGCTGTACAGTTCGGATCATGGTGGCTACTGTACCCGCCGCCACCAGTTCCGAAAAGATGCTGTGGAACCTGAGAACTACCGATTGATAATGCACATACAGGACAAAGGCGAGTAGCCTTCGGAATGCAAATCTCACATGCCCTTTTCATGCATATCTTACATTCCTCAATTTTGCTGGGGTCAGGAATATCCCGATCACACATCCGACATTTCTTGTCAGGAGGATCGGGGCCACGCATGGTCGGCGGCTCAAGGCCTGAAGGATCCTTCGGCCTTGTACCGTTGGGATCAAATCCTGGATAATATCCGGTTTCACGTTTATCCAGGGGCACGGGTTGCGTAGCCTTCGGAGGACTCTGAAGGTCAGCCGCGTCGGGTTGACCCCCAGTTGGAGTGTCACGGAATCTATCAACGGGTGGCCGCAGAGGCGGCGAGTACGACCGCGTCGGGTTCGTCTCAGGTACGCCTCCAGGCGATCTATTCCTGACACGGTTACCATCGGGATCCCTTCTTCTCCTAGTTTCATCCCTAAGGCACGCAAGACAACAGGGACCCTGGACAAATCCAAATCTCCTGTAGTCATCCTGCCCAGCAGAATGTCTGGCGCAGTAGTAGGTCTTGCAAAACTGACACTCAATTCCCTTGGTCAGGAACGAGCTCTCCCTACAGACTCCGCATCGGGGTCCGTTGCGGGAACATTCTTCACACAGGTTCTCTTTAAACGAGAAACAATACTCACAAATATCACCTCTGCATCCCTTGCAGTGAAACTCAGCCATGAGATGATTATATCCATCACCTACGTATTTACATCTGGGTTTACCAGGGTCGCCAGGGTTCCCACTGGCGGCACTTCTCTTCCCCCCTCCTCCTGGGCTTTGCCAATCTGGAGGAGGAGGTGGTGGAGGATCATCATCAGGAGGACCAGGTGGAGGTGGCCGCTTATCCGGAGTACGGGACGCGGCACGCCTTCCTCCTGTGCGATCGTTCAGTCCACTACTTGAGGCCTGGTTCGAGTGCCTTGACTCGAGGGAGCTAATTCTCTGGGCCGTATTACCCAGCACCTCGAGCATTTGCTCGAGCTTACTGTTGAGCGTAGTCGAAACGGCCATGTTATGAGTATTTTGCTTGTCCGTGAAGGATTTGCAGTCCCTTGACTTTATTTCAAGGTTGGCTTGTGTCTCATAAAGTTGGTCTTTAACCCACTTTATGCCGTCCCTATTATTGGTCCAGCGTTGTTCGACATCTTGCATCATCCCATCAATCTGACATACCCTAGTGGACAGGTCCTCGATTTTGAGGTTTACTCCACCAATCGCAGGATGGTTGGATTGGCTCTCCACTAGAGATCTCTCGATCATATCAACACGAGCTATAAGCCCGGTTACTCGATCAGAAAGAGATTCAAAAACAGTTTGAACCTGAGTGATGGAGCGAGCAACATCATCATAGCTGGCTCGCTCATTCAGGGCATCGCCTATGCTTATCATGCGATTGGAAACGATCTTGACGCGTTGGCCAAGCTCGGTCACGATGTCCTTAGTCCCTTGTGACAGCTGCATGGCCGCGTTCGCAGCCTGCGTACACGTGCTACTCACATGGACGCATTGGTCATATTTGGCCCTCCACGAGTTAACCTCAGTGGAGAGCTGCTTGATGCATTGATCACTTCTATCATTCCTACGCCCAAGGTCTTCGACCTTAGCAACCAGGCGATGAATGATCGCACTTACCGAAGAGTCCACCCTCCCTCTTTCAAGGGCTGTTACAAGATCAGCAACCTCGTTGGGTTGCTCCTCACTCGTAGGACCAAATCCTGATCCGCGATCTCGAGGAGTGGACAAATCAACCATGATTGGATTAGATCTCGGAGGAGTTCTGAAATCATCCTGCACGGCCGTTGATGGCCGTGGGAACTCACTCCGATTAGGAGATTGACTCTGATACGGAGCAGATCTCCTAGCATCACGAACCGCAGAGGGTTGTGTCATGCCCAGGCCTTTGGCCACGGACAGTTTAGGAACAACAGGCCTATCCGTTCGCATAGGAACATCAGGTCTCGAGTCAGCAATAACAATGTCATTCAAGTCGGTCGCATTGGACACTCTAGACATCAGACAGCAATCAATGTCATTCAATCGGTCGCATTGGACAGTCAGACATCGATTCAATATCAGTCGCATTACTGATGGTATGATTGCGACTAGAACTTGATGCCATCATGGACTCAGATTCTATCGGAACATTAGCTCCGTCCATGTTGTCCAGAGCGAAAATGGAAGCCGCGTTGGGCGTAGGGCGAACACCTTGTGCGTTCAAGCCACTTGACCTATTAAATTCCTCCTGGAATGCTTCGATCCCATCAAGCACGTTAACGAGTGTGTCCGCGTTTAACGGGTCTCTGCCAATGATCGACGCTGGATCACCTGATCGACCACGTCCTGAGTCCTGCGTATTGGGGTTACCCCTGTGGGCAGTTTCCCGATCCATCCCCCTTGCCCTATGCGATCCAGTCGAATTTGACCTTGATCGTTTGCTTGGGGTTGGACTGGGATGCAAATCCAATCTATCTACGATATTACGCTCCCTAGGGCTCTCAAATCCTGAAAGTCCTGGGGGAGGGGACATGTTCCTCATGGTCGGGTTTACCGACGGTCTTGGCCTGACGTTACGGCTGGCCACGTCAGGATTGAGATTCTCAATCGATAAAGGTAGCATGAATTCATCGCTTCCAGCAGCCCGTTTTGGGCTTTGGAATTGCGGGAAAGATGACGGGGCGGGTGGCCCTGGCATCCATGCGGCAAAATCCATACCAAAAATGTTTCCGTCGTTGGGCCATGAGGCTCTCCAATCGAGCCCACCGGATTCGGTCGGCAGATGAACGTCAAATGCAACTCCACTGGATGTACCAGGTTCGGGATTACCGAGCACTTGAAAAGCTATGCTACTGGTTGGCACAGGTCTACTGCTGCCTCGGGAGTCACGAATGTCGGACTGACCAATATTCATCAGCTCGGGGAAAGATGAGGATTGAGCTCCAGGTGCAATACCGGGCTCGTCATCATCACGTCCTGAGACGGAATCATCATGGCCAGGACGATTAGACCCATGACCCTGAGAGCGATTAGCTCTTGAGGCACAAGACGATAGATCATCAGTGCGAGTAGCACTGGATCTTTCTGAAGGCATCGCTTCTGAAAAAGTGTGGTCCGACAAAAAGTCAGGACCGGAAAACATCGGCTGTCCGGGCACTTGGTCGTCATTCACAACGTCCAAGATTCCGGCCTGGCCGAGAACCCATTCGTCGGTCACCACATGAGGTCCGTCCTCAGTGATTCCCGCCATGACGCCTACAGAAACCTACGGTACCTGCAGGGTTATTATTAAAAGGGGTTCGCGGTGCCAACCGAGGACGAATCCTACGGCTGATAACCTGCGAAAGGGTTTGAAACAGAGTTTCGGGAGAGAATAAACAGGCCCAATCCCACCAACAAGAAGAGATTGTTTAAGTCCCCCAGCCCCAAGGGCAAAGCGGTGCCCTCGGCTGGCACAACAAACGAACCAAAACAGGGTGCCTTTAACCAAGAGATGAATGAACCCAGCAAGGGCAGAGACAACCGAAAGCAAGCACAAAGCAGCAAACCAAGCAGGCAAACAATGCAGCGAAGCAAGCAAAGCAAACCAGAGCGCGACCCTACCACCCCAAGTCCTGACCCACAGCCAGCCGGCCCCACACCGCCGGCTGGCGAGCCCGTGGTGTCCTTTTCCACGAGACCGCCGCGGCGCCGTGCGCGGGTAGTTGACGCTATGGCAAGATTAGGATGCCGTAAGGAAAAGCTTGAGCCAAACGGCGCATTGGCCGTGGCGTTGAAACATGTTGCGATAAAACTACATGCCCCCAAAAACAATGATGATTGAAAAAGTGATGATTCAATTAAAGGCGCGGGGGGGTTGGGGGGGCGGCAGCCCCCCCATGATGATCGAAAAAGTGATGATTCAATTAGGGGCAAAAAGTCCAACAAATAGCGGGGGGGTTGGGGGGGGCGGCAGCCCCCCCATGATGATTGAAGAAGTGATGATTCAAAAGGGCAAAAAAATATATTTAAAAAAAAAGCAGCCGGGGGTCATCAGTTCCTCTGCGGCAAGGCCTCATGGTACAAGTGAGGATTCAAACACGGGCAAACTAATCCCTGTAAAACACTAGCGGGGGGGGGGAGCGGCAATTCCCTCCATGATGATTGAAAAAGTGATGCTTCAATCATAAAGGAAAAATTGCGGGGGGGTTGGGGGGGGCGGCAGCCCCCCCCATGATGATCGAAAACAAAAAATCGCGGGGGGTTGGGGGGGCGGCAGCCCCCCCCATGATGATTGAAAAAGTGATGATTCAATTAGGGCCAAGAAAATATTTATAAAAAAAAAGCAGCAGGGGGGTCATCAGTTCCTCTGCGGCAAGGCCTGATGGTACAAGTGAGGATTCAAATACGGGCAAACTATTCCCTGTAAAACGGCAGCCACCCCCCCCCATGATGATCGAAAAAATAGGGGCAAAGAATCTAAAAAGTAGCTGTCGCATGATGATCGAAAAAGTGATGATTCAATTAGGCGTGCATTTTAATCGAAAGGGGCGTGGCGGGGGGCCCAGAGAGGAACTTGCGATGCTGATGATGCAGGAAGCCAAGGCCAAAAACCAACTGGGAAAGCATCAGGATGCGAAAAGCCAAAGCCAGAAAGCCGCCAAAAGCCAAAAAGCCAAAAAGCCAAAAAGCCACCTGCCGCAGCGGAACTGGCAATGCAGAGGATGCGAAAAGAGAGGAACTGTGAATGCAGATGATGCGAAATGAAAAGCCACAAAAGCCACAAAAACCCACGTAAAAGCCACAAAAGCCAAAAAGCCGAAAAGCCACCGACCCTGAAAAACAAAAATAATTCCTAAAAAAAAACGGAAAAAAATCCTAAAAAAAATGGCCCTCCCGAATAAAATCAGGCACGACACGTCTGCATGCCTTAGTCCACAGCGGTCACCGAAAGCCATGAATTCACACACACGACGCCATGATGTCAAGGCCGTGGCATGGCTCATGCACACCGCCAGGCAGCGCTTCGTGCACAACCGCACCGAGCAAAAACTGTCATCTCACGACCCGCGCACTAAATGCATCCCAAGTGGCTGGATGGCAGCAAAGACTACAAGTGCCAGCAGGAATGCCATCTAGCTTGCGTTCTGATGGGATGGCATTCGTGTCAGCTGCCGTCCTTGCACAAAGGGCAGACTTCAATCGGGAAAGCAGGGCAACATGGGCCTCACAAAGCCAACAATTGCATGGCTGTATAATACACATTCCGTATTGCGCATGGAAGCTCAAGCATGGTCTTGCCTGCTCAGCAAGTCAGCACCGCCAAACCATGACTCGTGTGCATCAGGCGGCTGAGTAAGAATTTTGGCGTGCGAGGAAAGTACGGCTACTTCCAGCTTGTGAAGTGGGGCTGATCCGCATTGCTTGTCTGGACGCGGTGTTGCATGGCTTTGGCGAAACCGTGGCAACAGTGGCAAGCTGATTGTGTCTCCTCAAAAGGGAGCTACATCGAATGCGTCTTGCACCCAGGGACTTCGTCAGTGATTTGCTTCGTACGCCCTCCTGGTCCAACTTCCGCGCACTGCATGCTTGCACATTTATTGCGGACACACTGCGGCAAGTGGCATGCAGCAGCCTTGGATACCGGTCACCTGGCCAAAGAGAACCTGCAGGACACAAGGGCTGTGACAGCTTTGCTTGTCGAAAAAGGCAGTGCAACACTAGCAAAGGACTCAGGTGCCCACTATGCCGTGCACTCGGCGGTCCACAAAAGGACCTCAGGCAAGTCATTGGAAACCTAGGTATATATCTTGAAAAATATTGAAACCAATAATAAGCCGATTGGACAAAGAAGGAGAAGCACTGTGAGGCTTTGATTGGTTTGATTGCTCTGGGCAAGGACATGCCCAACTGTGCCTGCCTCAACGTCGTTTGGGGTTGTCAAGGCTCCTATTGACTGGTCTCAAGCTCCCAAGGCGGAAACAGACTTCAGGCATACAAGCTGGTCCCCCTCACGATCAAGGATGGCCAGGCGCACCCGGCAGAATCATTGCCCTCAGCTGGTATGGCACGAATTCAAGCTGGTATGGCATCGGCCCAGTCTTCGCATCATAGAACCAGGGAAGTCGCACCACCTGCACGCACAGCTCTCAAGCACCAGCAATCGTCTCACACAAATGCGCTGTGAGCATCCCGGCCGTGTCTCCACATGGTGCGTCGATGATGCAGGTGAGCAACACCTTGACAAATGCAAGCCAAGGTGCGCGCAAGGCGGCACATGCCAAAAGCTGCTGTTCTGCGCCCCTTGGCCCCGAATGTTCGGCCAAGGATTTCGTTCGCATGACCCTTTTGATTTGGGGAGGCCGTCGTCAGCATTTGCCAGTGTCTCGGGAGATGACTCCGGCCGGCAACAGGCTGAAGAGGTTCTGCAGCTCGCAGTCGAAAAGGAGGTTGGCAGGGAAAGGGTCCTGTCTCGATGGGTGCACTCGCATTCGGCGGGAGCAAGTGCCCAGCCCAGCGCCTCCATATCTGCCGCCATAAGCCTCACATGCGCCCGACCAAGATCCTTCACCCTGGTCTACTACGTGGGCATGCAACACAATGGCACCCAAGCGACCACCGCCTACAGCACTGCTTTCGGGCTTTACGCCCTTTCGGCTGATGCTGCCATGGAGCGCTCTGTCTAAATCGTCCCGCCGCTCGCTGGTCGTGCAGGTTGTGCTTATCCCGTGGCCCGAGAAAACAAATGCAAGGTTATCTCCTGCCAAGCAAGCGCATTAGATTGTAACACCTTGGCCACCTTCCTAACAAGCCAGCAGAGGTTCATGCAGGCTGGCAAGATATCCACAGAGGTCTATTTCTTATTCATTGGCCACGCAAAAAGCTCGCGCCTGCAATGCCCCTTGGCATGACAGATCTGCTGTGCAGCCAGCCGTGAAAGGGCGCTGAACCCTTGAATAGCACTCTTGCCCAAACAGTCACTTCTAACACGGAAAAGGAGGGGATGCAACGTCTTTTGTGTTTTGCGTTCAGCGCCTTGCACTCGGCACCAGGTCGACTTTGCATTTAGCAAGTGATTCCCCTACTAGGCTTTCGCCTTACACAATCTATCTACGCCATGCTTGGCATGTTCTACACGGAACTGGGCCTCTGGCACTTCCGGCAGCTGGCCCCAAATTGACCTCGCGGCCCAGGAGAGCGCCTCAAATGTCGAGCTCCCCCGACGGGGCAGGATGCGCCGCCTGAGAAGCCTGAGCTGCGGCGAAGGCCGCAATGCAATCCCAATTTGCAGGTCCTTCTGCTGCCTTGAAAACTGCCCCCCAGCAAACAAACGACCAAACAAGAGGGAAGCCTGTGAACATAGTCAGCTTCAATGGCCGGTCTTTCATGGTTTGCCACCTTGCTGAACATTCTCTGGTTCCCACGGAGCAGAAAACGTCATGGATTTCCCATTGCTTCCCAGAGAGACCAAGAGATCCCCACAACTCCGACCAGGGCTATGTCCAAGGGGCAGGCGCCGGGGGCAAAGCCACGGGCGCTCGACTACAGTAGCTGATGGGCATCATGCCAGGACCATCCAGCATCCTGAAGGCCTGCAGTGGAAGCGTGGCGCTTGCTCTCTCCGGGGAAAATGCGTCCAGCGCCTCTGCAGCTGTGCTGCCGATGTTGGCCAAACCTCAGCTGGCAGCTTCAAACTTTGCAGGGCTCCAAGGCTGAGACAGGAAGCTGGCTGCAAAGCATCTGATCCAAGGCACGGTAGGTCCATTCTGGAACGCTCCCAACTCCCAGGCGTTGACAAACCGCATCGGCAAAATGGCAGCAGTTTCTGCGGAAGACATTGTAACTGGGCCCTGTCCACTCAGCTTCCAGCTCCTTCATGATGGCTGCGATCTCAACTTGAGACAATTTGGCATTTGCCATGCAAATGGATTCTCGGAAATGGTGGCAGGCTTGGAAAAGTGGAGGTGTCCAGAAGACTCCAGAGCCTTCAGCTTTGTACCCGTATGACCATTCCTTCGAGCCAACCTGCACTCCAATGTGAAAGATCCCACCGAACTTGACTGGCGAGTAATGATTGGCGAAGAGGGCATTGATCCACTGAATCCCAGAACTATTGGACACGTCGTAAACGTTCAGAATCACTGAGGTCTCTTCCAGCCGTGGCTCTGGCTTGCATGGAGCCTTTGTGGGTTCACAACACGTGCTTTCGGCCGTGGGGGTCTTTGTAGCGTATCCTGCCTTCTCACTTGCACGTTTCCAAACTGCCTTCAGCCTGTCTTCCATCTCCCGTCTGGATTCAGAGACTGCCAGCTGGCAGGTAAGCCGAAGAGAGAAAAGATCTCTGCAAGGCAGTGCCTTGCACAACAGCAAGATCGGGTGGCCCTCCAGATCGGCAAGCTTGGGTGACACCCGGCAAAGCTGCCAGCTTGGTGAATCATCCCTCCCAGGACTCCGTGCATCAGCCTCGCTCTGGGATACCAAAGTCTCATCTTCGTCGGCTGTACTTGCATCGCAGCGCGGCACTGTAACTGATGCAACAGCCCCTGACTTTGTCTTGGGACAGCACATCTCTGAGGCGCAAAGGAGCTCCGCATCAGTTGCAAATGCTGTCTCGTCAGCGGGGTTCGTGACCAAGCCTTTGCAGTTGTCATTGCCGGACTGGTGGATATCACCCAGGACATTGTCTTCTTCCATGCCTTCCATCTCTGCATGTGTGGCTGGTTCTACCTCGACTAAAGATATCTGTGCAGGGGCCACACTCAGCCCCGTGGCTGGCACGTCCGCCGCCAATTCCTGGCTGTCAAAAGGACACTCCGCGGCTCTTTCATGCCAATAAGCACAATAATGTGAACATGTTTGAAGGGGGAAATGGTGCGTGTGTACAGTATATATGTGTGCGTATTTCTGGTTCCTTGCCTGGAAATCCGAGCTGCCTTGCACTGGAACTTGTGCCCAGCTTGCAAGAGACGCTGCCGGACTCTTTGAGAGCTCACCTCAAGAGAACTCGAAGCAATTCCTTGTCATTCGTCAATATGGTTGCCAAGCAGCCTGGGGCAGTCTCCTTGGGAGGCTGCTCAACCGGCCCATACTTCTGAAAGCGCTCCTGCAGAGCTGCGGCGATTGCCAGGCGCATGGCAAAACAATTGACAGAAGCTCACGGAAACATATCACGGCAAGCGACCTCAAATTGTGGCCAAAACTGCAACCAAAAAGTGAGACCGGAACCCACGCAGGTAACATGAAAATAGCCGCAGCAGATGCCCACTTGCTTCTGTAGACACTTTCCTACAAATGACCAGACTTGGTCTCTATAGACTCATTTGGAAAGAGCATACTCTACAAGACCTCTCAGCATAGCAGGAAAACCTTTGCAGGGAGGTCCACTATAACTGACCAGCGCAAGACATCTGTGGGAGCGTCTTTACGGGATCAACACCGATCTCGTTCTAAGCTACCCTATAGAAGCGTAATGTTCAAGATCTGTGGGGGCATCCTCTACAAGATCATTTGGAAGGAATGCAGGTCCAGATCTCGCTCTGTATAAGGCATTTGTGGAAAGATCTTTGCAGGATCTCTGCGCAAGATGTGTGGGTAGGAAGATCTCTTGGCAGGATCTCGGCCAGACCTCGCGTGGGTAGGCAGCACCCTCCACAAGACCTCTCGATGTCCAATACGCGAGCTGCACCGCGGCGACAGTGACTCAACACACCCGCAGCCCGGCAGCAGAGCGATCCAACCCCGCCACAGCAAGAGCACTCCAACACGCCCAAAGACCGCAGAGGGCGCGGCAATCGGCAATGTCCGGAGTTCGCTCGGCACCACAGCGAGAGCGCACCTCGAAAGACACCAAAGCCAGCCGCGCACTTTGCGCGAGCGTACGCAGTCGAAATGCACATGAATATCTCACAAGGGGACTGTTGTGCGAGCCTACGCAGACGAAACGACTGGCCCAGCGCAAGCACCCTGATCGCGCACCCTGCCCTGCCTTTACCGCAAGAACCGGGCTGTCAGACCCTGTGACCACAGGGTGATTCCCAACAGCGAGATCTGGGGGCCTTCGGCCCTAGCAACGGCTTCGGGGCAAATCGTGGCAAACAAATCTGTTGATGGTTTGGCAGTTCCCGAGGGCAGGCGAAGCATGCCGAGCAACATGCGCTGGTAATCTGGACGGTTCTGGGGGTTCAAAGGGCTCTTGCTCACTAAATTTACGCGCGCTCTTCAGAGAATCTGCGACGGCATGCCCAGTGCAAAGCGAGAGAGAGAGAGATAAAAATGGGTGCGGATGTATTTTTGGTGTTTTCTTTTTTCGGATGTGTTGTTTTTTGTTTGTTTTTTGTTTCCCTCGTCCGGGCCAGTAAAAGGTCGTATTTTACATCAACATCCCCAGCATCGTTTTCAACATCCCCCGCATGTCCGACCAACATCCCTAGCATCACCAACAAATCGTGGGTAAAAAAAAACAAAAAGTAGCTGGCGGGATTGACGGGGTCAAAAAAAATAATGATTCAAACAGGAGGGCATTTTAATCCCAGTAAAAAAAGAAAAGGGGGGGTTGGGGGGGGGGGGCGGCAGCCTCCCCCATGATGTCGGAAGAAGTGATGTTTCAAGTAGGGGTGCACTGATTGAACGGCAGCAGGAGGGTTGGCGGGGGTGGCTTCCCCTATGATGTTCGAAGAAATGCATGCATACAGACATACATGGATTACACAGATTACCTAAAATGTCGTATTGTGCAGCATTTTCTCGCGAAATTGGACGCTCGAAAAAGTGATGATTCAAACAGGGGTCCAATTCAATCTCTGCAAGAAATCTAAAAGTAACGGGGGGCGGGGGGAGGCGGCAATCCCCCCCCATGATGCTTGAAGAAGAGTTGATTCAAATAGGGGTGCAATTACTCTGCAAACAATCTAAACAGTAGCGGGTGGGTTTCGGGGGGGAACCCCCCCCCATGATGTCCGAAGAAGTGATGATTCAAACAGGGTGGTGGTAATGGTGATGATGCGGGAAGCCAAATCCGAAAACCAATGAAAGGGCGCAAAAGCCAAAAAGCCCGAAGGATGCGAAAAGCCAAAGCCGCCAAAAGCCGCCAAAAGCCGCATAAACCACGAAAAGCCGCAAAAGCCAAAACGCCACCTGCGAAAGAGGAACCGGAAATGCAGAGGATGCGAAAAGCCAAAAAGGCCACCAAATGCCGCATAAAACAGCAAAAAGCCAAAAAACCCAGAAGCCCAGAAGCCGAGAAGCCAAGAAGCCGAAAAGCCAAGAAGCCAAGAAGCCAAGAAGCCAAGAAGCCAAGAAGCCAAGAAGCCAAGAAGCCAAAAAGCCAAGAAGCCAAGAAGTCAAAAGCGATAAATAAAAAAGGAAAAAAGAAAAAAGAAGAAGAAAAAAACGAAGAAGAATAAAAAGAGAAAAAAAAAGGAAAAAAAACATACCCCTCCGACAAAAATAGAGAGGGCTACAAGAAGTCCACAAGTTCAACTTCTTCACGACTATGCATCTGTGTTGGCGTTGGCTCAACATTAAAACAAAAAAACAGAATCTTTGTTGGTGCTGTCTCAACATGTTGCTTTTGCCACAAACAGTGTGTCTACACTAAGGGCTGTCCGGCCTCGATGCGGACGAACTCCGAATGCAGTGCCAAAGCCTGCAGCAAACAAAGAGCCAAACAGCCAAAGTGCCAGCCAAAATGCCGGCCTGCTGGGCTTGTTCCTGCAGGAAGAGGTGGAGGTCTAGTACTTCTGCATCGGCTTGGCCTTGAAAACCTGAAAGCCATATACATTCTGGATCACGCGTGCACATGTACGAGTGCATTGCCCGACGTGTGCATCTTCCAAAGAATCAAACAATTCCAATTCGGGGCTCAGTGGTGATCAAGTCATTCATTGTACATGCCTCTGGCTGACCACCAACGTGTGCCAGGTGAGAAGCAGCTTTCAGCAGGCTGTTGCTCCGCCGTGACTAAGGCTTGCACACTCCATCAAGAGCAGGCAATCCTTGTTCACCTCGAGTCTTTTGAACTAAGACAACTATCATCAACATGGGGATGTCCGGTCTCTGTTGTGGCCGAGGCTGTGGCGTTGAGGCTGTAGTTGCTCGACTGCCAGAGCGCCTGCCTGACTGCCAGGCCCAACGCCTGTGGGCCTGAGGTCAGGCGTCCGAAGTCCCAAAAGCGGCCCCTTCCCAAAAGAGAAGCCGTCAGGCCTGTAGCTGGTGAGGCACCTAGGCAAGGGATCGACACGGAGTCAAAGCTGAGCAAGCTCGGAGCATTCCATAGCAATGCAGGTGACAGTCCAAGTAGCCCTGGAGGTTCCGAGACAAAGACGTGAGGAAGACGCGCGAACCTGCAAGACGAGCTCTAAGCCCCTGCAATCTCATTTGCAAGCCCTACAGAATGCCTTGCACTTTGGCATGGGTTCATC